TAAAAGAAAGTAACTCTCTGCAGTTTGAAATGCATGGAATCCTAATTCTATTTAATTAGGGGCCAACCACACCCCAATACAAAATTGCAGGTTCAGATAAATTAGTTGTTACTCAAGGTACCCAGTGGGGGTGTCCCAGTACAAATTTTTTCATTTCCGATATGATACCAATATTACAGCTTTAAAAATTGGTCAATATCGATAGTTACCCGAATTTATATTAGCACGTATCACAGCAGACTTTATTACTTATTTTGTACCGTAGAATGTTAGAAAAGGTTTTATCAAGTAATATTATTAAAACAGGAAACAAAATTCAAAAACAATAAGGTATGACTACAACTGAACCATATCAACTTTACCAATGAGTTACAGAAACATTTAACAGAAAGTTAAAGAGTTTCTATCAGCATGAAAACCTCAGATTTTAAATGCCAGACAATTAAAATCTGATATTCGTTTTATGGTAATATCGGACCAATATATGATATCGTCATCAGATCGGGACATCCCTAGTAGCAAGAGCCAGAATTTCATTTTTTCAGATCAGATGACTGGATAAGATTGTGCTCAGTGTTGTGTGTTAAGAACAAGCTGAAAGTGCTGTTACACAATGGCTAGAGAATAAATGTCATTCTGTTCTTGCAGCCAGAAAGAACATATTTCTCGGGTCTTATAAAGTTTCTAAGTCATTACTTTTAAGCTGCTTCCTTTTAGCATTACAATACTAGAGAGGAGACACTGAGCTGCTCAGGAACACATGGAGTCAATTTTCATTATCTGGAAAACTGTACATTAAATTAGAAAACTGCTATAAAATGACTGAACCACTGTATACTGAATTAAACAATGTAAACATTATCTAACAATGTGAAACAGATACAACAGAGCAGACATTTGTTCTAGACCTTTCAAAGGCAAACAGCCAAAGCAAAGCTATTTGAATTATAATTACATTATTGTTACCATCTAAATCACTCGTGTCAAATTTATAGGTCCTTGAAGAGTGCATGCACTTCTAATCAGCTGGGTGGTCACTGAGAATAATTACTCTGAAAAAAAAAAAAAAAACATCTTCACATCTTACTTTGTCGCCTGTGAGAGTTCATCGTTCTGCAGCCCTTTACTTGACAGCGAAGCCGAGGAGAGAAGTAGGGGTGTCAGTTAATTTCTTTGGAAGAGGCAGTGATCGTCATGTTCCACCCAATCTGGAGGAGACCTCGAAGGAGTCTTCCAGCTAACTGCCAGACTGTAAAAGGAAATACAGGAAAGCTTTTGTTGACAGCTGTTTAGTTCAGTGAGGACATTTTTTCCATAAATATGTTTGAGGGGGAAAAAAACTCTTCATGTATCTTTTTTACATAGAATTTTAGATGGAAAATAAAGCTAGAAGTAGTCTACATTGAAAGTTTTTTTTTTTACTTTTCAAATGTGGTTTCATCTTAAACACCTAACTGTAGGATCTTGAGATGTCAATATATGTACTTACGGGATTCTGGCACTGTTAAAGCTTTAGTGTTTGTACCTCACCCAATTAAAAGAAGGTAATGTTTTAATTTTAATTAAACAATAATCATACATGTGTTTACATCTCTGTTGTTGTATTTTTTACTAATTATTATCAGAGTAAGATTTTAAGAGATTAATATTTTATGGATTCTACTTCAACTGCATAACAAACTTCAGCTTCAGAGGTCAGCCTAGGAGTTCAGTGCAGAAGATTATGGCTTCTATGTGAGATGGATAACTTAACTAAATCTTTAAACAGGCCTGCAAAAGTCTTAGACATATTTTATTAGAGAATCCAAGGACAAAGAGATTAAACATTTTATTTACATAACCAACATAACCACCTGTGTCTAGCATTTATAGGTTTATGTACTTCAAAAATTAAATACACAGAGTTAATATTTTATTGTTATTTAAAGCTACAGTGTGTAACTTTTAGCGACATCTAGCGCTCAGACTGCAGACCGCAGCAACATGAACATCTCCCCCCCCA